AGAGTAAATAGTGCACTGGTTCTGGTACTGGTCCGGGACTCGGTTTCACAGAGTAATCTGCAGAGAGGGATAGTTTGGTTAGCCAGGTAGCAGCGATGACTGGGCAGAGTTTAGATCTTATTTTGTACCCGATTAGGTTAAGACTGTTCAGTGGAGAGAGGGAACTGGTTGGGTCCAGAGACTGTGATTCCAGCAGAGAGCTCAGCAGCGACAGAGCTTAGCTTCAGGCTAGCGAGATTCAGACCTTGAGTTGTTCTCCTAGTTCTCTCCTGAGAACTAGCAGGTAGATTCAGACTGAGGATCTTCAGGTTTGGCTTCTTGGGCAGGCAGGCAGGTTTCCAAACAAGAGCTCCTCCAGAGCTACAGAGTTCAGTCGGGTTTTTCCTGTGAGCAGAGAGGACAGAGACTGGTTAGGATCAGGTTGCTCTCTAGAGCAGACAGAGTTTCAAAATACAAGCTGAGGCTCAGGTTCCGCTAACCAAAACTGGTCAACACTCCGGTGCTGAAGGCAGGTCTGTTCGCTGCTTAAGTAGGAGGTCTCCTGATGGGCTGATGATCTTCAGGTGTGCAGGAGGCTCCAGCTCAGGAGACCCATAGCGCTCTCTGCTGGAGACAGGTGGCAGATCTCCAGATCCCAACAGTGAGATTGTAAAAACATGCTGTGCATTATTACCATGAAAACTACATACTACAAAGGAAAATGTTGTTTATTTGAGCATCAACAAATTAAAGGTACTACACTGTAGCTTCCCAAAGGTTTCTCATGAGAAACGTGCTGCTGTAACTTTTATGTTGGCATGACAGTGTTCATTTATACTTGCTGTCTTTCACCTGTTTAATTTTTTATACCGGTTTATTGTTTTAAAGTACCAGAGTGGCAAATTTAGAGCCAATCCTACATCTTTACATAACATCTCATACCTTTCTTATTGATGTAGTACCTTAAAAAAACCCTGAGATACTTTCCAAATGCATACTTTTGCAAACTATCTAACATATCATGTCCACCCGGTTTATACTTAGCTTATTAACCCAAGACAAGGTTAGTTTGAAAAAAGATAAAAGACAAAAGATAATCAGTTACATAACAGACTATCTGCTTTAATTGGAATCCCTTCCTTCTCTTAGGGAATCCCCTACCTTTATTTACCTCCCAGGCTTAGGTCTGGTGACAGCATTTAGCTGAAACATATCAGACTGACAGTTATCTTATTCACAAAGTGGAGGGAGATAAAAAAAAAAAAAAAGAATATAAAGTTTGTATTTATTTTAAATATTTTCTTTAATGTGTGAATGCAAAAGAAGAAGAGTTGCAGAGTATTGTTTGCAATGCAAAAAAAAAAAAAACTGAAACATGTAAATATATATAGTTTTTTTTTTTGTACATTCCACACGCTCCATGGAGAGTGATAGCCATCTTTATACCTGACAAATATGCCAAACATTTTTTTTCAGGATGTATTTAAAGTAAAGGAAGTATCTAACTTCAGTGTTTGGCTGTCAGATCACAGAGACACAAAAAACTGAGATTTCAGTGAGCTTGGTGAAATGTTAGGTACAACACAAGTGAATCGACTAGTGAGGATGAAACCTCTCTTAATATTTTTGCAACTTTTTGCAGCTCTTTCACTTCAAATTCTTTGCAATGAAGCCTTACAGGAAGCCAAGTCTACGGGGGACATCATCATTGGAGGATTGTTTCCAATACATGAAAGTGTAAACGATAAAGGAGAGTGTGACAGGTATTTCTTTATTTCCCTAAAATTGCTGTTGGACTCTAACAACAGGTCTGAGCGAAAATGTGCAAACTATAAGTAACGTGCTGTATTTTTTAAAATCAGGTTCAGTGACAGCCGGCTGGCCCAGTCTCTGATTATGATTCACGCTATAGAGGAGATAAACCAGAGTGGAGAGTTGGGAAACATCACTCTGGGATATCACATCGTGGACTCCTGCGCTGATGTTACCACAGCTTTGAAAAACTCTCTGCTCTTCATGAAAATGAACCGTAAACGCTCTCAAATCAAGAAACTACTGTGTTTAGAGTCTAGTCTAGGTTTACAATAGTTGTCTTTGTTTATTTTACACTTTGTAAAATGTTAAAACAAAATAAATATTTATTTAAAGTGTTTATGAAAAAAGAAGTATTGTATAAAATTTTGGGTCGTATAATCCTAACAGTGCTTTCTTTTATGGTCTTACCTACTAGTGTTTTATTTAATATAGATTTTTTTCTTTATATCTAATATCATACAACGGATAAAATAAATGCTGTCTAATGTTTCTACAGCAAATTCAGACACAGATTGTAAACATCAACCCCCACCACCAGTGATGGCCGTCATAGGGGATTACTATTCAGAAATATCCATAGCAGTTACAAGGCATCTCAATCTGGAGCAAATTCCTCAGGTATGGTGTATAATAGGCATTCCTACTTACATTTATTCATATTTATTTCAGCTATTGTAAGAGAGTTTTTTCTTCCTTTGAAGGCACAATATTACTTTTTATTCAATCTTTTATGGTCAAAAGCGACCCTAGATGCTTATATTTTCAATAGAATAATCATCAGGCCTAAGAATATGACCACTCACAGGTGCCACAAACCCTCTTTGGCATTAAATTTGAATTTTATAGAGGAAAAAATATTTCACACTGGTTTTTGGGAGCTTGGGGAGCCCTGGTGTGATATCAATCTGATGATATATCAATCTTAAATTGAGTCCCACACCCACCTCATATGTCCTTGGTCACAGACTTATCATCAGACTTTTAAAGTGATGTTTTACTTAAAAAAAAAAAAAAAACTATAGGGGCAGGCAATGTGTGGGCCAAAATAGTAGTTTTTTGCCTTAAGTCAACACTATGCAATAGACGGTGGACACTGTTTTTAGTGGGAGAGAGGAACTGCTAATGTTGACTGAGAAGATGTTTTGACGGTAGAAGGAATACTTTGAGGATCTTCTCAATGGAAGCAGAGACTAGATGCTTGGAGCCTGACTTGTGGGCATAGACCTGGAGAGGAGAGTTTGTCTGATTGTTTAACTGTGGCTTCAGGATGAGCAGTGTGGGTTTTTTTTGTCCTGGTCGTGGAAAGCTAGACCATCTCTATACCCTGTGCAGGGTGCTAGAGGATTTATGGGAGTTTGCCCAACTCGACCACATTGGTATTTGAAAACGATCTTGTGGTGTTGTGTGGGGGGCACTTCAGGAGTATGGAATCTGGGGTCTTTACTTTGCAAATGCAAATCTGTATTTCGTCTTGCATCAGCCACTGGAACCCAAACCTTCTGTTATCAGAACTCTGAGTTTCTAGGCTGACAATATTCCCTCAATTGTAGAGGAGAAAAGAATTGAACACAAACATATCAGGAAATTACTTGAAGTATGTGCTTATCTAAGCTGGGTATTTAAGTTGGCCAAAAAAATCCAAAACAGCAGGAAGAGCAACAGTGTTTCTAACGCAGAGGGGAAAACAAAGAGACACAAAAACATTGTCATTCCATATATGTCAGGAGTTTCTGAGAAACTAAAAAAAAAGATTTTATCTAAACTAACATACCAGTTGTTCAAACCCCAACAACAGACTCGGACAAACACTGGTTCATCCCCAAGACAGAACACTAAAACTAAAGCTGAGCGGTCTAGTGCAGCACTGTTTGGACTCTTATTGAAGAAGCCAAACAGTAATTACAAAAATTACCTCAAGAGTGAGGTAAACACATTTCTCAGATTTTGGAAAGAAGGGAGAGATGGTTTGAAAGAGGGGTAAAGGAGACCATGTTTTCATTTTCAAACACCTTCACTTCGTTCCTGGGACTCATGCCAAAGAAATTACATAAGCACACTCATCATGGACCAGACAACAACCTAGAGGGACAAGAGGTGTATATTTGCTTTCCGTCTGACTTAAAATGTGAACAGGAGGATGGCTGAAATGCTGCCTAAAAACATCAGAGCTCCAGCTATAGATAGAGGTTTGTGACCAAACAGAACAGAAAGAGACTCCTGAATAATTGATTGATTGACTTTATTGATCTCACATTGGAGAAATGTACTCGTTACATCAGCTCAAATAAGAAGGTGCCAAAGGAAGAAAAATGTGCATGGGATAAATACAGTATATACGGTGCGTCCACATATAACAGCTTTTTTTTTTTTTATAGTAGGAACATCATACAGGGTTGTGGCACAGGGTGTTTACATGGGTATTTATATAGATTGATATTTATATTTATAGTTATAGTTATTGCACTGGGCGTCAAATACAAAGAAACAGGTTATTGTAAAGGGCATCAAATAGTAATTGCACATAGGTTTCAAAATATCTTTCTGAAAAAATTATAAAAAGTCTGGTTGCCTCTGATTTAAGCCTGTTTTGTAGATGTCATGACCTGGATGGCTGAGAATTTACACAGGCATATTAAGCTTATCCGATCCTTCATTTATTCTTCTCAGCTAACAGATCTGTTAATCTCAGTCTGATGATATTTGTTCCCAGTGCTTAATATATTACATATCAATTGTGTATTTTCCTTCCCTCTTGTTTGTTTTAATGGCTTAAAGTGAATTGTAACTTGATTAAATGTTGTCATTTATTTGACCCGTTTACTTGGGACACTTACATTTTTTTGATAATGATAACAAATATATGACTAATGTTGTTTGAATTTGATGCAAAGGAGAAGCAGAATACGAAGAAAAACCTGATCTAATTTTCCATTTGAATTGAGAAAGCTTCCTGGAGAGGTGGCGAAACATCTTCAAATCTTGGAAACCAAGTCCAGTGGATATTTTTTGAATTTTTATGGGAAGTTATACAGGTATTAAATTATCCCGCTATGGGGTTGAATCTAAAACAAACTAAGTAACAAAGAAGCTCAAAATAATGTTTTGGATTTCATGCCTAAGGTGGAAAGACATATTTTTCAGAAGTTTAAAGTCCTTCAGTAGATGCAATAATCACAAACACACTTTTTATGGTAAATGTTTGAGTAGCTTGAGAAGCCAAAGTGCGCCGAAGTCAGAGAATCAGCTACATGCACTCTTCGCCTGCCCAGCTTGTAAACAAGAGGCTGTAGAACAACACAGAAAGATGATGTGTGACATCATACCATATTCCATCTTACTGCTCCTTTAAAGATAAAGAAGGACTGTGCAGCCATTTTGATGTGTACTATAAATGATTTCTGGAAAATAAAAGATGTATAAATATTTTTCTTTAAATTGTTACCAAGAACTTCTGAAAGTCATGTTTGTCTACAGTGATTTATTTCGAAAATATACTGTGATATTGCTCCCACTGATTTTTTTTTATTGAGTGTACCCTGTAGTTTTAGGGTTTTTCAGATTCAAGCTGCCTGGTTATCCCTACAGAAAAAAAATGTACTACCTCATCACTGCCCCCTGAAGAATGGGTTAAATATAGAGCACAGCTTTTGTTATATTGAACAACTGCAATGACAAAAACAGGTGGTTATTGTAAATTGCAGGACTTGTAGGATCTGCAACTAAAATCTTGGTTCCTAAAAAGACAGCATAGCTTCAGGGAGTTAGGAAATTATGCCTTGAAGAGTCTTCCCTGCTTTGGGAGCAAAAGGGTGCATAATATCCCTGGTCAGAAAATGCATGTTAATGACTTGATGCTTGTTTTGTTTTTTCTTTGATCGGGCTTTAACAGTATTTTTTAAATATTTCAACAGATAAGTTATGGTTCTACATCTGGCCGTCTGAGTGATAAAACTCGCTTCCCAAGTTTTCTGAGAACCGTGCCAAAGGACGATCACCAAGCACATGCCATTATTGAGATTCTGAAGAATCGTAACTGGAATTGGGTTGGTGTCATAGCAACAGATGGTGAATACGGCCGCTACGCTGTTGAACGTCTCCGGCATCATGCAAAAAAAAAAACAACATCTGCTTTGCTTACGTTAATTTTCTGCCAGAGTTTCTTGTTGACGAAAATCTTGAAGACTCCATAAAAGAAACAGTTCAAAACATCACTGAAAATGGAGATGTCTCTGTCATTGTGTCCTTTGCCAAATCTAAACATATGGAGGACCTTTTTAACAGTGTTCTTAAAGATAAAAGAGGCAGAAACAAAGTTTGGGTAGCCAGTGATAACTGGTCACAATCTGCTGAAAGTCTTGATACTGAAAAATGGACTTTAGAGGATGTTGGAACTGTCTTTGGGATAACTCTTAAATCTGGAAAAACATCCAAGTTTGAACAGTTTCTCAGGAATCTTGATCTAGACCCAGATCTATACAAAAACAACTCCTTTTTGAGGGACTTTTTGGATAAAACTGAGAACCCTATCAACAGATTAATCAAGAGGACAAGTCCGTATGCTGTGTTCAGTATCAAGCTGGCAGTCAATGCAATTTCTCAGACTATTAAATCCCTCTGCATCAACAAGGAGTGTAACACATCCACATTACAACCCAGGGAGGTATGCATAAAAACACACATAGGCATTCATTACTCAAAATGCATTCCAGAAATACTCAATGAAATGCTTTATAACAGGGGTCTTCAACGTTTTCAAAGCCAAGGACCCCCAAACTGATTGCAAGATGGAGCGGGGACCCCCTAATTATATATATTGTATGAAATTGTGCTATATCAAACTGGTCCTATAGTCACTCTATTACAGATGGAGTCATGTAACGAAAGTAATTTCTCCCTGGGATTATTAAAGTATTTCTGATTCTGATTCCTGGTTCATGGGACAGGTGTTGTTGCTCTTGAAAGAGCTCCTGTATGTTGCTGAATGTGTGTATTGATGACTGAAAGACATCTTCTGGCTCCACTTATCAGTTTACTACAGTGTGTTGAATTCATGTTAATGTGTATTTAAAGACATTTTAATTAGTGCAAAAAATTGCAGGCGGGAATATAAAAAAAGTAATCAACCAAGACTTTCGCGACCCCCGTGCAGTACCTCTGCGGACCCCCTAGGGGTCGCGGACCCCCTGTTGAAGGCCTCTGCTTTATAGTATTTCATATTAACATCCCCATGTACTTTGTGTTATTCTATGTGAAAAATTCGATCCAGTAATTATATGGTGAG